TTCTGCTTGTTTTTCATTTTCTTGACGAAATGAAGTCAACCAATTAGGCCCTTGCCACCACAGAGTATGATCTCTGAGTTGACTTGCGTTTAGACCTCGGCTGGCACAATCAGCTGGGTTTTCCTTTGACTTGACGTAACGCCAGCATTCAGGTGGCATTGAAGCTGTTATTTGTTTCACGCGATTAGCTACAAATGGTTTCCATCTCTCTGGATCACCGTGAAGCCAACCTATCACCGCCGTCGAGTCAACCCAACCATAGATCTTGATTTCGTAGCTAGACAGGTTTGATGTAATTTTTACCATTAACTTGGATAGTAGCAATGCTCCGCTTAACTCTAGGCGAGGCAGAGATACTGTCTTTTTGAGCGGCACGAGTTTTGTTTTGGCAGCTACCAATGTAATTGATGACGAATTCCCTCGCTGGATTTTACAGTACACGACACAAGCGTATGCCTTAGTGCTTGCATTACAAAACCCATGCAGTTCGATGCTGTCTTTGTCTCTTGTTCCTAGCCATCTGGGCACTTGATAACACTTAATCTGCTCGATATCTGCTCTAATCTCATTCCATTGTAAGTGAATTTCATTAGGTACGTATTCGTCCCATTTAATATCCACTTTCCAGGTCTCTTGGAATAAAATCTTAAGTTTTGTGGTGAGTGGAGCGATCCATCCCAAGGGATCATATTGTTTAGATATCTCTGATAGCATTATTCTTTTGGTCGGTCTTGATAACGACGTAGTTAATTTTGAATTGAAAGTAAAATAATCTCCTTGTGGATTCCATCCGAGTCCTAAGGTTTTCGTTGACTCCGCTTGCTTGAAGTCAAAATTTCCTTGATAATTCTTCTCAGCTGTCGCATTTTCTAGTAAATCAGGTAAGTTAGACTTCCATTTTCTTAAGTTAAATCCACCAGAACTTAATAAACTGCTCAGGTCCTTTTTTAACCGCTTTGCTGATTCAATAGAATGAGCTCCGTGAATTAAGTCATCCATGTAAAATGACTCCTCAAGTACCCATGGAGCCGAACTCTCTTGATAGTTTGGCCACTCATCTCGAGCTAATTGTTTGATAGTACACATGGCCAAAAAAGGGGCCGCTTTAGTGCCATATGTAACTGTTGCTAATTGATAAGCTTTTAAATTTTTTGACGGATCATCTCTCCATATTATTTTTTGTAATTTAGAATCTTCTGGGTTGAGCCATATTTGCCTAAACATTTTTTCTATGTCAGCAGTGAACGCGAACTGAAACTGTCTCCACTTGATAATGAGACTTTGGAGATCTTGTTGTAGGTTAGGCCCCCTGCACATGAGATCATTTAAGCTAAACCCACTGGATGTTTTTGATTTGCCATTAAATACTACACGCAATTGTGTAGTCTCAGATTCAGGGCGCTCGACACAATGATGAGGTAAAAAGCATTCAGGGGTCATATTACCGTCTTTATCTACAGGTATCATGTGTCCGAGCGACAAGTATTCATTAATAAATAATTTATACTGTTGCGCAATATCTGGCTGTTTTTGAAATTTTTGTTCTAATTTAAAAAATTGTCCGATCGCTTTGTTTTTAGAGTGTCCCAAATTTTCTTGATAGTTGGGTTTCATCGGCAGCCTGACTTCATACCGGCCATCGTCTCGGCGTTTGGTAGTGGCTTGTTAATATTGAAGGCAGCGTTGATCTTCTGATGAGATTTCTGCTGGTTTTGAAATATCTTCAAGCTCCCAAAACTTGTAGATATCTTCATAATTATGTAGCACCACATTACATTGGAAAGTTTTCACGTTGCCACTCAATATCCATCCCAACTGCGTTTGTTGAGCCGTCGGGAGGGACGAGTTTACTCTGCAAATGCCATCCAACAATATAGCAGAGTATACATCAGCACCTAATAGAATGTCCACTGGACGACTGACGTAAAATTCGGGGTCTGCTAACTTGATGTGGTCTAAGTACGTCCAATCCGGTTTTGAAAATGTATAACTAGGCAAGTTTTTGATAAGGCTCTTCATGATAAGTGCCTCCGTCTTGAACTTGAAGTCTGTAATAAGTGATGAACATTGTATGGTAATTAACCCTTTACAATTACTTTCTTTATCGCCCACACCTGATATTACACCCTTACAGCTTCTTCTTGGTAATCTTAATAACTGAGCAGCCCGTTCCGTTGTTAAAGATGTTTGAGAACCCTGGTCCAAAAGGCAACGCATTTTTATGTAGAGTTCCATCTGCTGATTCCACCTTGATAATCGCAGTTGGTAACAATACCTCGATCGGTTCATTCGGAAACGACACGTGCGAACTACTTTTGACGTTTTTCCCGGAGTAAGCATTTGAACTACTGGCGCCGCTCGGGCCGACACCTTCGGCCGCTGTTTCCGGTGTCGCAATACTTGTTTGTTTTATTGTTTCATGTAAAAGGCTATTATGATCCTTATTGCATTCACGACAACGTCTATTTGAAATACACGCCTTTCCATAGTGGTTATATAGACAATTAGGACAAATATTTAATTTTGAGACCATTTTTCTTCTACTGCTTGGCGACATATTTAAAAAATTTTGACAGAAATAAATCCCGTGGTCATCGCTGTTGCACAGAGAGCATTTGTTTTTAGTCATGATATTTTTGACGTTTGATTGTTTCGGCGTCATCCGTATGCTTGAAGAAAATGAATTTTTGTAGTAATTCGGTTTTTGATTACTGTTGTTAACAATTTTTAAGTTTCCTTGATATTTTTGTGTAGGGTTATCTTGCTTCCTACGAGCTGATTCTAACGTAGTGAATTTGGTTTCCAAAAAATCCAGAAACTCGTTCAGCATGGGTAACTCTCTTGGGTGCTTAACGGATTCGATATAATCTGTGTACGATTCGGTGTCTAATTTTTGAGACAAAATGTACACAATCAGAGGGTCCCAAGAGCTTACATCGACCCCTAGGTTCTTGATAGCATTCAGACACTCAATTGTAGTATCATGAATGCGCTTGATATGATTCAGGGACTGATGTTGCATAACAGGAATATTTAAAAGTAAACTGATATGGGATGAAAATATAAGCCTCTTGTTATTAAATCTTTGATTTAAAATGTCCCAACACACATCATAGTTATCAGAGCTACTGCTGAGATGCTGGATTAATCTCTCGGCCTCTCCTTTCATCTTGGTCTTGAGATACTGCATCTTCCGCGCGTTGGACATGGATGGATTGTTATGTATTGTTTCAATGAAAAGGTCTTTAAAAGAAGTCCAGGTGTTATAACTTCCACTGAAAGTCGGAATCTCCATCTGGGGCGTAGACTTTTCCCTGTGAGCCACTGACCACATTTTTCTGTTAATGGCTTTCTTGATTCTATTGTATTCCGATTCGTATCTGATAAAAGTATCTTCATATTCCTTGTTCGACCCTTCCAGTTCGCTATCTAAGTCCCAGTGTAGTGTGTCAATGGCTGCCCACCGGGTTTGAATCGTCCGTAATAAATCATCAAATTCCCACTTTTGTGACACGGAATCAAGGTCAATGTTTACTACAGTACGCTGGAAAGCTTAAAAATTACTAAACTGTTTTTTCAGCATATCGTCGGTCCTGCTCGACGTGCCTGTGGCTTGCCCCCATTGTCGAGAGGATTCGCCTTCTCTCATGACAAAAAGTTGGTGGCTTCAGAAGAGGCGTTCTGGGCCTTTCCTCTGTAAGCAGCTGATAGTTCTGTATATGAAGCCTAATAGACCCGTATCTTTCGGCTACTCGTTGAAATTCTTGATTCATAAATACCGAACTCTGATAATCTTGCATGATTATTTTTGAACTCTAGCCAATACATATCCAATATGTCTAATCTACGTTGTATATAGTCTGCTGTCTTCCTTTCTGAGCTATCTTTTTTGAAATTGGTAAAGACATGCTCTATCGCCTGAGAGATTTGCTGCTGATTAGCAAGGAAGTCGTCCATTTTCGACATGATAAAGAAGAGAAAAAGGGCTGATCTTACTTGATATCTGCTGAACGGCGAATGTGAGCTGACTCGCTCACCGACTAATGATGACCAGAGACTTCGATCTTCAGACAAGGCGTGCACCTTGATCGCACACCGTCTGATACTTGCTACGCCACAGGTTTCTTGATAGGAAAGTAACAGTCACGCCACTACGCGCCACGTGTTTGAAAGAATCCAATAGGTTGCTGAGCGGAAACGCTGACACGCACACGCCGCAATGTAAGGGAAAACGTGGCGAGGTCCCGCTTTTTCGGAAAGCTCGAAGGACCAATGTTCGGGGTAGTACCGACACTAAGGGGATGGTAAACTGATAACGCTTGATAAGTTTGATAAAATATATTATGGACAAGTATACAAATTAAAAGGCTAGAACTACTGATAATGAGTACGCGTAGCGCTCTTGATGGCTATCGGCGAACTGATTTTAAAATACCTGTGCCGCGGAAATATGTAAAAGAGGTCAAGTTGTGAAATGATGACTTAACAATTGTACGTTGCATTACATGCTCGTACATGCACTTTCAGTTTAAGACGTCTTATTATTAAAAAAAAAAAAAACATAATAAGCGTAGTTTCGTTATAAAACTCGATTTAGAGTTTATAAAAAACTGTGTAGCTGCCTTATTTCCGGGTCATATCCGTCAGAAAAGAAAATTTTAACTTCAAGTGCATTATTTTAAAACACTTTTCATTTTTTGCATTTAATATAACTTATATTATTATATATTTATACAATAATTCAACATAAATAAAAAGAGTCATTCTCAAAATCATTCCGCGTCGAGCGCTGTCGCAAACCGGTTGTTTTCTTTTGCTCCGCCAATAAGTATACTTCTATCCGCGTGGCGTACTTTACGTGTTGTCGCTAAGCGTGAACGTCCGACTGCGAGTTGCATCGTGCACAGAGTAGCTTGTAATCAGAGAGCTCGATCATTATGTCGAACACTACAAACAGTACCTTTATTCATGAAGTGGAACATACACCGAGGTTACGTGAAATGAGTATAGATGGATCGCTTATTGATAAGGAGTCCCTTCCACCCTACATTACGTTTCGTAAAGGAGTATCTAGCCAAGAGATCAATTTCTGCCATGAATTTAAGTCCTTCCAAGAAAATATGCTATCCATGCTGGAGACCTGGTTTACTAAGCAAGATGACAAATTTACCAAATTGCTCAATGAGTTTGCGAGTGTGAAGACATCCATTAAATATATTAGCGATAAATACGACGATCTAGAAAAACGTTCGCATGAGGTTAAGAGCCGAGTAGAAATAATTGAAAAGAGCGTCCAAACAAATGAACCACGTATTGCTTACTTGGAGGCGAAACTTGACTACATTGAACAGAGAGCGCGGAATTGTAATGCAGAAATAAGTAATCTTCCTGAAAAACGTGGAGAGAACCTTATATCTATCATTGAAAATATCGCAAATGTAATAAAACAACCTGTATCTGCACGTGATATCATCTCCATCCATCGTGTCCCCCAAAGTAACCCAAATAGCTCACGGCCAAAGAATTTAATAGTCAAATTTGCCAGCCACATTACTAGAGACAACTTCATCTCGGCAGTACGTTGAACAAAGGTGTCACATCTGATCAGATTAACATACAAGGTTCTCCTCAAAAAGTTTATGTAAATGAACATCTAACACTACAATCTAAGAAGTTATTTCGACAAGTTCGGGATATTGCCAAACAAAATAGATATAGGTTCGTTTGGATCAAGCACGGTGTTATACTTGCTCGAGCTGATGTTCCCACGCCTGCGATTGCAATTCGCTCAGAAAAGGACATTTCGAAACTTATACCATATATCGCTAAACAATAATTACGTATATATAATTATTTTATGTGTGTTCTCTAATAGTTGTATAAGTAAAGTTATCGTGAATTACGTAATACATTATAATAATTTCAACTCATTACTGACGTTCTGTATGTGAGCTCTGATTTGTACACTACACTGTGTGTTTACGACAAGGTATGCGTTGATCACTTATTATTACGTACTTTTTACCATAATGATCATAATATTTGCTATCGACATATTTAATCCACAATGTTCATTTACACATGTTTTACCAAGTAATGAAAATTATTTTCCATATATTGTGAGTATTCAAGTGATTGGTTTTGTTGGTTATGTAAGTATTATTAATTTTCACAAGCTCATTTTATCGAACTTAATAAGTGCTGGTATTAGTGTAAATGATGTGCTAAGTATAATGGCTAACGAGTTTATATTTCTATTAGTAACATGGATTATCATTCTAACTCGATACAGAGACTAGTAATTTGTCAATATACTATCAAAACTGCCGAGGTGTAAGAACAAAATTAAGTACCTTGTACAATAATATTCTAGCCGAATCCTATGATATCATTATTTTGACTGAAACATGGTTGGTTCCTAACATTGCTGATGAAGAATTTATTGACTCGCGGTACGTAGTACATCCTTGTGACAGAAACAGAGCGTTGTGCAGTAAATCAGACGGTGGTGGTGTTCTAGTCGCCGTGCGCCGCGGTCTGCATACAATACGTTGTGAGTTAAGTTCTGTGTTTTGTGATAACTTCCATTGTGTCATGCCACATAATATTGAATACGTATTTTTAAAGTTTTACTCTAAGTTTAACAATAAATACCACATTCTTTGCGGCTTATATGTACCACCAAATCAGACTCTTATTACATATGAAATGTTATTTAATCTGCTTGAACAGAAAATAATATGTCACACTATTGGTAATATTTACATCTATGGTGATTTTAATTTGCCAAGCGTTGAATGGATTGTACACGATACGTATGCACTTATGCCAAGAGTACACAATAATAATAGCTCCTTGGATACCCTCTTGTTTAACTTTTTATCATCAATGAACTGTAAACAATATAACAATATAAGAAATCACTTAGACCGTATTTTGGATTTATTAATTTCGAATGACACAATATGTGCCTGTAAGCCAACTCTTAACCCTTTATTTCCGATAGATAGTTATCATCCGCCTTTTAGCACGCTAGTTTGTTTTGGATTATTACATAAGCCCATGGCTCGATCTTCTCAACCTAGATATCGTTTTACTGAGGCAAAGTATTCTGATATCAATAGTGATATTAATTCTATTGACTGGGCTTCAATTTTGAATGATATTTCATTAGATTCTGCTACTCAGTGCTTCTATGAAACGATATATAAAATTGTTAAAATGCATGTGCCGCAGCGACCTATAAAATCCAATGATTATCCTACATGGTTTTCCCGCCCTTTAATACATATTTTTAAAAATAAAGAAAAGGCGTGGATTAAATGGAAAAAATATAATAACATAACTGACTACGAACAATTTTCATTGTATCGCAAAAGGTTTAAGGCGCTATCGGCCGAATGTTTTGATAAGTACCTGCAGTCTGTTGAGGATGGAATAAAAAAAGACATAAAACAATTTTGGTCCTTTATAAATAGTCGCAAAAAAAAACAGGTATACCTAATACAATTATTTACAGTAAAGAATAGTCCAGCGGTCCTCTGGATGTGTGTAAATTGTTTTCAAGGTTTTTTAGTTCAGTGTACGAAAATAGTAAATACATAAATCAGTCTAATGATGTTGTAATTAGCTCTAACTCAAATAGTCAAGTAACTATATGTGACTTAACATTCTCAAAAGATGAGATAACTAAGATTCTTAAAGCCTTGGACGTGACAAAGGGATCTGGACCAGATGGTATCTCGCCCTTTTTTCTAAAATATACTGCCGAATCCATTAGTACACCATTGTTTATTTTATTTAATCGCAGTTTGAGGAAGGGAGTAGTGCCGCAGGCATGGAAATCGGCAAACATTACACCTGTGTATAAAAATGGCCAAAAAAATGACATCACCAACTATCGTCCAATATCTATTTTGTCCACGTTGTCAAAAGTGCTGGAAAGATTGGTCCATAATGTTGTCTATCCATATCTGCATAGTTTTATTATTCCTGAACAACATGGTTTTATCCGAAATCGCTCCACGGTAAGTAATTTGGCCTTATACGCTAACTTCTTATTTGAAAATATGGATAACCGACTCCAAGTTGACACCATTTACACTGACTTCTGTAAAGCTTTTGACAAGCTGGACCATACAATACTACTACAAAAAATCGCATTTAATGGTATACGTGGGAACTTGTTACGCTGGTTTGCTTCTCATGTAAAAAATAGAACCCAAAAGGTTGTGGTCAATGGCTTTTCTTCAGATGTGATAGATGTGACAACTGGTGTACCGAAGGGATCAATTTTGGGGCCGTTGCTTTTCGTTCCCTTCATAAATGACATTAGTACCTGCTTCAAAAACACCCATTTTCTCTTGTATGCTGACGACCTAAAAATTTTTCGGAAAATAAACACAACTGAAGATTGTTATAAATTGCAAATATCTAGATCGTTTGTCTGCTTATTGTGCTGCTAATAATTTACAGCTAAGTTTATCAAAATGTAAATCTATCACATTTACTAAAAGTATTAATGTCATCCATTTCACATACTCTCTTTGTAACACTCCTTTACAAAAAGTCTCCGGAATAAAAGAACTGGGAATACTATTTGACTCGAAGCTACATTTTGATGCTCATATTAGTCACATTACTGCTAAAGGCTTTCAGCTTAGTGCTTTCGTAAGAAGGACCTGTAATCTGTTTAAAAGGCCTGCGACGTATTTATTACTATATAAGTCACTCATTAGGTCACAACTCGAATACGCCACTTGCGTTTGGAACCCTTATTATGATAAATATAGTGATCAGCTGGAATTGGTACAACGTAAATATCTTCGGTTTTTAAACTATAAATGCTTTAGGAAATGGTCATCGTATCTCACTCATTTAGATAAATTCTCAATTCCCACTCTAAAAATGAGAAGATTATATTTTGATCAAATATTCTTATACAAAATCTGTCATAATAAATTAGATTGTAATCAACTCATAAATCAAATATATCTACGCATACCTAGTCGGTCCCAACGCATTCGTAATACGTATAATCATCGTTTATTTGCTCCTAAGATGTGCCGAACAAACGCGGGGGAGAGAGCTCCACTACGGCGTATCATGAAATCATATAATGATAACTTTACTGATCTTGACATATTTGCTTTATCATTTGTAATGTTCAAAAAGTGTATTTAAAAAAAAATTACTACTAAGTAAGGTATTGCCTTAAGGGTTAAACAGTTTATTAATGATTCAACTGTTGTTTCTCGAGGCAAGTTTTGGCTAGCATAGCCACTACAGTGGTTGTGTTGGCTGGGATTTGCTCAGGGAACGCTGCGATTCATCTTTTGTGGTATCGTACAACATGTTTGCTGTGCATTATTATATTACTTTTATTGTGATATTACTTTGTGGATAACGGTGCTGGTTGTGTAATTATTGTATTTCCATTTTTGTAAGACCTGTATTTTGTATTATATTTTATTACACAATTATTTGTTGTCCTGAAGAAAATAAAATAAAATAAAAAGAAATTAATTCATTACAGCCGAAATAGGCTGATTTGTAGTGCATATAGTGGCCATACTTGACAGGTGCTTTGGCAACTGCAATATTTTTTAATTTTAGCAGTTATCAGGAAATAGTCCCGCCCATCTTCAGATTTGTTACTCTCTATCGTCTCTTACAACATCCATGGATGATAGGTCTTAGTGGATTCCATTGTGCCGTCTCTATACGTCACAAACTACAGTTTCAAATCTCTCACCTTCAATTTTTCGACGATATAGTTTTTGTGGCAGATTCGCTGGAAGACCTCAGCACTATTCTCGATGATCTCAATAGTGTTTTCTAACAGAATTGTATTAAAAATGAAACAGACATAACAAAAGTCATGTGTAACATCAATGTCACACATATGTCTGTAGTAGTTGGGAGCACTACGCTAGAAGTTGTTGAAGAGAATGTTTGCATATGGGAAATTTTTCAAATATGTAGTGTATCTAACTTTGAGCAAAAAGTTAATCGTCGGATCTAACTCGGGTAAGCAGCTATCAGAAGACTACGACACTGCTTCTCGTCACTAAGTTCTCAAAACTTTAAAATAACGCAACCAATGCTTGTTACAAGCAGTTAAAAATAAAACTATGCTGGCCTCATTTAGAATACTAGCAAGTAGCATCCCAGTAGCAGTCAGATCAGCAGTAACATCCCAGTAACAGACTAGAGTCTCGCTACCGGGATAGGGTAAAGTTTTTAAATTATTGTAATCTCATCGGTCCTATAAATTAGTGAAAATAACATTAGAATATTCATTACGTAAAAATATAGATTGATTCACCCAAAAAAAGTGAATTAAAAATAAATTTCTGTCTTCGTAATTTTTAAATCAACACATCAATTTCACCATTTATCATAGTGTGAGGTTCGTGGTTGTATGCACTCTTCCCACATGATCACATATTGTGTTGGAGCGAAGGCAAACCAGCCTGTGATTGCGTGTCTGTCGCGGAAGATGAGAGGAGCAACCATAAATAACGTTTTAAGTGCAATATGCGAATAATGTTCCTCGAGCGTTTAAGAAACAGTTATTTAGATG